GAGGGAAGGGGCCTGTGCTGGCACCAGGCATGGAGGTGACCGATGGGACAGGGTGTGACACACACCGGCCTCTCCGTGCTCACACAGATCTGCTCCCCAGGTGTGGGAAAGGCTCCCCAAACCCGAGCCAGTCCGGAAGCGCCGATAACCGACCGGAACAGCGACACTCACCCGGCAGGATCAGGGCTTGGCTCTTCCCCGCCAGCACCTTCCTGCACAGCTCCCTCTGCCACTCCTCCAGGTTCTCCCACTCCTGAGCCGAAAAGCCAGTGGCGTCATTTTCCAACACCAGGGTCGGGGCCTGCAATCCCAAAAGCCACACGCTCAGCACTGAGCCTGGAACACCAAGAATCCTCCTTCCTGTTCATCCCAGCTACCAGGTGTCAGGAAAAGAAAACGCCTGCCTTGGGGCATCCTCTGGCCACAGAGAGTAATGTTCTTTGCTAATCCCTGGGGGGATGAATTGTGAATTCCACAGTGTTCTTACTTCCCCCTGTGTGGAGTCTGATCCTACTGGGAATATCAGAGTTGGGAAGAACCTCCCGTTTTTGGTGAAAATATGTCAACCCGTCCTTCTGCTGGGAAAACCAGCCAAACACAACAATATACAGGAGTGATCGCTGCCTGCTTGGTGCCCCTGCACCCCGGCAGGATCCATGGAATGACTTCCACGGAGGAAGGCTGCCGGGCAGGGGTGAGGAGCGGAGCAGCGTGTGTCCCCCAGACCCCTCAGAGACCCTCCTGTTACCTTGGGGACCCCCCCGCCCGGAGGCAGCCGCAGCACCCAGAAGTTCCTGTTCCTCAGCAGGTTCTCCATGTTCTCCAGGCGCCGCTGGAGCTGCCCGTACTCCTGGACAAGGTTGCCCAGCGCCGTCCACTTGCTGTCAAGCTGGTTCCCCAACTCTCCCATTCCTTTCTCGTATTCCAGGTGCTTCTTCTCGGCGTTCCCGGCGCGGTGCTCCAGGCTGAGCAGGCGGGACGCGTGTGCGGCCACGCTCCGCTCCAGCGCCTGCACGGCCCCCACCACGGTCCACAGCGAGATGCTGCCGCCGTCCAGCAGCTCCATCCCCGCACCGGCACAGATGGAGCCCCGGGAGAAGCTGCGGCACCGGGGCTGGGGGAAGGAGGGAGCGGCTCGGCCGCCGCACACCGGGGCCGCTCCGGTGCGGTCCGGCCCGTCCCTCCCTCCCGCACCGGACCCGGGGCCGGCCCTTCCCCGCCGGTGTCCCCCGTCGCTGCTCCCGCCGTCTCGCACCGTCGTCTTTTCTTGCCGCCCAGAGGAGCCGCTTCCGTTTCCTCCTCCTCTTCCTCTTCCTCCTCCGCATCCTCCTCCTCTTCCTCCGCCGCCGCAGCGGCCGCGCCGGCCGGCAGCCCGGCGGTGATTGACAGCTGTCAGTCACCGAGAGGGGCTGAGCTCACGGGCAGCAACCCCTGCAGAGGCGCTTCCCCACAGGATCCCAGCAGGGCTCGGGCTGGGAGGGACCACAGTGGGGCACCTGGTGCCACCTCCCTGCCCCAGCAGGGCCATCCCAGAGCACGTGGCACAGGATTGTGTCCAGGTGGTCCTGGAATATCCCCGGGGAGGAGACTCCACCCCCTGCCTGGGCAATCTGTTCAGTGCTCGGTCACTGCACAGATACAAATTCTCCCTCGTGTCCGGGTGGAACTCCCTGGGCATCAGTTCCTGCCCATCCTCCTGTGCCATTGCTGGGCCCCCCCACCCCGAGCAGAGCCTGGGCCATCCCCTGCAGCCCCTGAGGGACACTGGGGAGGTCCCCTCTCAGTGTCTGCTCTGGAGGCTGAACAGCCCCAGCTCCCTCAGCCTGTCCTGCTCACGGAGATGCTCCATCCCTTCAGCACCTCCACAGGACAGTCATCTGCCAGGAGCATCATGTCCCTCTTGTCCCGAGGAGCCCAGACCCGTGCCACTGATCCCAACCCTCTG